CTAATGGTGATAGGAACAACTCTGCTACACTGGACTCTCATAAAAGGCTCTGTGCTGGAATCGATAAAGCTAAAGGTGGAGTTGGTAACAACAATCTATATGTTACATGGTTCGGTGCATACACTTCTTCAAGGGCTAGCACTGTTAAAGACTTGTACGGTAAGATGAGGACTGGACTAGGAAGCAAATCTGTCACATATTACAACGAAGGCCCGGCTTGCAAGTCTAATTGGATAGCATACACATATAAGTCATATACTCAAACAGTTGTGTATCTCTGTGATGCTTTCTACACTGAGCCTACAGCTTGCAGGGGTACTGACTACACTAAAGAGCGTACACTGTTACACGAATGGGCTCATGCTTTTGCTGCTCGTGATGATGAAGGATATGGCGTTGATACTTGCAAGGGTTTTGCTCGAAATGATCCTGCTAGAGCAATCAGGAATGCTGACAATTTCAGTTACCATTACTGTCAGAGTCAGTAATGGAGCTCATCAGCTAAAAGCCAAGAACTTTAGGACTCATGCAACACTATAGGACATGCACAGTTTATTTTTGCTGCTTTAGGCCTCTTTTTGCTTACATGTAATATTACATTTTTGATTAATTAATTTTATTCTTGGTTTTAATAATCATCATAAAGATTTCATTAAAAAATTTTCTCAATCATTGGTAGCAGCAGTAGGAAGAGTGCACTTATCAAAAGTATAGTCCTGGCTCACTGGAAACCATGACCAATGATGTATGAATAGAGGAGACATGCTATATCATATGTAATTCATGTAGATACATTCTTATGACATTACTGAGAATTAAGATAGTAATAAATTCTAATGATGCAAAAATATTATTATAATCCTGAACAATAAGGATGCATGGCTAAGTAAATCATAACAGTGACATTAATTATACATATAGACTAATGAATAGGTACATGTGCATTGTCCAGCAGTCAATACCATGATTATGATGAATAAGTCATTCTCTCATTTTCATTTCAACTAGGTATTTGTTGCAAAGACATGTCATACTACCGTATAGCGGGGTTTTTTTCGAGGATAACAAATTTCGCAAATTTCGCGGATTTTTTTCATGATTCGCAAAATTAAATTCCTTGAAAATCAATTTAATACGGTACAAGATGGCAGATTAGTGGAAATTCGCGAAAATTAATTCCGGAAACTTCTGGATATGGGTCATTCGCGAAATTTATTATCCTCAAAAAAACTCGCTATACGGTATATACTTGCTCACAAGACTGCATGGAACTAATTTTCATAGCCTGGAGTCATAGCATTAGTCTAAACTGTTTAGACTTCATATAGCTTCATATGCTAACATTTAAAAATATATATTTCATCATAATCTATCAACCATATATCCCAATTGTCATTTCATGTGTTCAGTAGTATATTCTATTCACTGTATAGTATTACTAATGAATGATAGATTTTGTAGGAAATCCATCAGTACAGCAGTCAGTTACTGATAAATATTGATGAGGTACCTAAAAGTATATAAAGAGGTGACCAGCAGCAGTCAATCACTTCTCACTAAAACAAGAAATCATCTCACAACAAGAAGGAATACTCTCTATCAAGGAAAGGAATCATGAAGACTCTACTCTCACTCTTCTGTCTGGTTACTTACCTCACCTGTGCTCTCAGGTATGTTACTACAGTATCAAATCAATGTTACTTTTCTCTTGTACATGCAGTGCTAATGGCTGGCCAGTCTCTCTTGACATGGCTTGTAATAAAGCTCTTTCTGCAGTTGCTTGCTCTTTTGAGTTTA